AATTATCATGTATATAAATGTTGAATCACTGTGTTGTACACCTGAAACTAATGTAATACTGTGTGTCAACTACCCTTCAATAAAAAATAATTATCTACAAAAAAAATGTTTTAAACTCCCTTGAAATGATAAGATAAATGAAAATGTAAGTGCCTTCACATAATAACAGTAAGCTGACCCTTTGGGAAATGGTTGACTTTCTCAACACATGGTATTCAAAGCTCATTCAAAAGTGTTCATTTAGAATGCAGGTATCAAAGATCATGCAAATGTTCAAGAGAATATTAGAATTTACCAGATGTTCTAATCCAGCTTTGATGTTTCCAGATCCCCTAAAATAGAAGAATGAAAGTTTTAAATACTTGCTAAACCCTTGTCTGCTATGATTTACATTTACCTCAGTGTTTTATAAACCCTAATAGATTTTTCATATACCTTCAGTAGTGTTCACAATAACACTGTTTTTAAGGACAATACAATTTCCATCAAAAGGGAACAATTTATTTAGATCTAATAGTATGTCCACTAAAATTGGTATTGAACCAACAGAAAGAATGTTTCAAATTTTTAAGTCAGTGGAGAACAAAAATAAGTCAAAGTGTATTATTATTTTGCTATTCACACAGTGTCTTTGTTGCACATTAGGTTTTCCACTGTAGTTTGTTTTTCCAACACTTATTATGAAAATGTTCAACATATAGGTTCTATTCACCAGATTCTACAACTGACATTTTGCTTTGCTTTTTTTACATAGCTAAGTAACTAATTCTTTTTCTTTTTCTTTTTTTATATATTATTCTTAGTTGGCAGTTTTTCTTTCAACACTTTAATCAGATTATCCTCTCCTCTGGTCCTCAAGATATCTGCCGAATAATCTGCTCATAGTCTTAAAGAGGTTCCCTTGTATGTGACGTGATTTTTCTCTTCTGCTTTCAAAATTCTCTTTGTGTTTGACAATTTGATTATAATATGTGTCTCAGCATGAAATTTTTTGGATCCCTCTTTTTTGTATACCTTTGGCTTCTTGGATCTGGTTGACCATTTCCTACCCCAAATCTGGGATGTAGTCAGCCATTATTTTTTTGAGTAAGCTTTCTGGGCCTCTCCTTCTCTTCTCCATCTGGTACTCAATGCCTATTTCATCTGCTTGATGGTGTACCATGTCACATTAGCTTTGTTCATTCTTTTTTCTTTTTGATCTTCTGACTGAATTATTTCCAATTGTCATTGAGCCTATTTATCTTGTTTGAACTAATCTGTTGACACCCCTCAAGTGAATTTTTCACATCACTTTTTGTGTTCTTCAGCTCCATGATTTGTTTTGTACATTTTAATATTTTCTTTCTTTGTTGAAATTGTTCATGCTTTGTCCTCTTGACCTCAGTTAGCATCTTTGTGATAGTTGTTTTGAATTTTCTGTGAGGTAAATCATTACCAATTCTTTCTCTCCTTAGAGAGAAGAGTGAGAAGTTGTAGTTCCAGTTGCTCGTTCTGTGTTGAACTGGGGAGGAAGGGAGCTATGTTGCTATCTTTGTTCTCCCTCAGGTGTCTAAACTATCTTGGAACTCTAGGGAGCCCCTTAGGAAAACTTGGGGTGCTGGACATGTGAACCAACCCCTTCCCTCCTCTGGGAGAAGTTGAGAGCTAGAAGGTCTCTTCCCAATTGTATGGTACTATGCTGAGGTCAGGGACTCCAGCAAGAGGTCCCGAATCTACCTACTGGTTTCAGTGATTCTGGTTTTGTGTTCACCTGGGGTGCAAGAGACTTTCTAATAGTTTCTAGATTTTGCAAAAAAGAATTTGAGAATTTCTGCTGAATTGGTGTGTTTGCAGGGGGTCCAATGGCTTCTTACTCTACCATCTTGCTGTTATCACCCTCAACTTGGCTTTTATTTCACTCTTGCTGATAGTTTCATTGTAGGTAAAATTTTAGGTTGGTTATTTTCCCTCAGCATTTTGAAGATGTTTGTCTTCTGGATTCCTTAGTTGTTAATGAAATGCCAACACTCAAACTAGTTTTCATTCCATTGTAATAGCTTCTCTTTATAGCTGTTTTAATATTTTGTCTTTGGTACTTTAAGATTTTTTTGTGTGTCCATTTTCATTAAGCATGTCTTGTATTTTTTGGGCTTGCTGAATCTGAAACTTGGTGTCTCATAAATTTGGACAAACTCCAAGTCATTATTTTTTTTGAATAATTTCTTTGAAAATCCTATTAGATATATATCAGACTTCCTCATTATATCTTCATTCTCTCATAATCCCTTGTTTATATATTCCATTGTTTTTCTCTGAGCTATATTTTGGGTGATTTTTCTCCTCAGATCTTGAGTTACTAATTTCTTTTTAACGGTTTAATCCATTATTTAAACATTCATTTCAGTTTTTAATTTTATTTTTCATTAAAAAAAGTTCCAAATATGCCTAATTTTGATTCTCACATATCAATAGTCTTTAATTTCTTAATTCATGTAAATGAATATTGTATACTATGACGATTCTGACATCTTCAATCTTTGTGTGATTTCTCATTTTAAGCTCATGTTTATTGGAATTTTTTCTGTGAGGATGCTGGGTTTAAAGTATACCCCTCGACAGATGACCTGCATTTGCTCCTAGGTGTTTGAGATTACTACCAAGCTACATTTTCAGAATGAGTTTCTTTCTTTCTTTTTTTTTCCTCTAAAGTCACAGAAGTGGTGTGAATTCAGGCTTCAAACCTCTCAACACAGCCCAGCTTGAGCAGAGCTACCAGGGCCGCTCCTTCCTGAGACGCCACTCGGTCGGTGCCAACCCTTCCCGTCGGTGGCCAGGAACCGAGCAAAGGGTCGTCCTGCTGTTTGAAGTTGTCAGAACACACATCTCACCCCCCAAGCCCGTCAGTAACCGAGTCAGTCGGCGCCTTAAGTTTGGGTTGCGAACACCTGAGCGCACTCCAGGAGGGCCTCCCTTTCCCCTGGCTGCTCTCCGGTCCGCCCCGCACTGCTCGCACCCCCCCGCCCCGCTCCTCCGCCGGAGGGGATCACCGCAGCCCCCGCACCCGCCCGGCCGCGAAAGCCGGTCCTCCCGCCTTACCTCCGCCAGGTAGAGGTGGAGGAGACAGCGTGGAGAACTGGAGACCGGAGGGGAAGCAGCAGAGCAGCCAGTGGGGCAAGTAGTGTAGGTGAGAGGGCGGCCGGAGCAGGGGCAGAGAGCCGCCGAGCTAGAGCGGCGGCGCAGAGGGCGGTCCTGAGCGCGGCCCACAGGAGGCAGGGGAAGAGGCAGAGGCTCTGGTAACTCAGCCGGCGCTCGCGGTGCAGGAGCAGCCGCCGCGGCTGTAGGCAGGCAAAGGCGAAGAGCGCGGCGAAGAGCAGGGCGGGCAGGATGCCCAGCGCCAACTGCACCAAGCCCGGCACCGCGGCACCTGAGGCAGCAGCAACGGGGCCTCCGCGTCCGCCGCTGGGCGTCCAGGGCTCGCGGGCGGGCGCGGGACCCGGCACGGACACCCGCACCAGGGGCCAGAGCGGCGGGCGGGAGCACGCGCGAAGGAAGGGGCCGGACTCCGAGCCGCCGTGGAGGGGAAAAACGCTTCCCCCTCACCGCCCTCCCACCCCAACCTCCAACCCCAGGAAGCGCCGAGACAAGACCCGGATCCCCGAGCGGAGAAGCCGCGGCTGCCGGGACCCCGCCTCCTTTCCCAGCCCTCTCCCCGGGGGTCTCGGCTCCTCCCGCTGCGGCCCCGTTGGGTAGCTGCAGAAAACAACTTTGGGCTGTAACTAATTCTTAACAAATTTTTTTCCTGGCAATTTTATTAACTTAGTGCACACCACAAATCAAGACTGTTATAATATTAAAAAATAAAATATCAACAAAGAAAACACAAACACTGAGTTATCATGATATATTTTAAGTATTTAATTTCTTGCTTTTCATTGTGTAAAAAACTGCTGATATAACTAAAAATACAAATAAATGCTTAAGTAGCAAAGATAATTTAAGTATACATGTGGTGAATTATGGCAAACAGTTGGATTCTTTTCCTTGATTTCACTCTACACTAATATATTAGTGACAATGGACTTTGGTTTTTCTCACTCTGACCAAGTAGTACTTTAATTCCATCATAAATACCAAACCTAACCTTTTTAAACATGAAACTACACTTCTACCACATTGTAGAAAGTAATTACGAAACATCCAACAACAGTACTACATTCATGTTTCATCTTTGCCCCACACCTTTCTTTCTCCGAAACTGCCCCAACTTTCTTCTCTATTTCTATCTCTAATTTTCTTTGCCAAAAATACACTTATCTCTGTTCCTTTATTTTGCCGTACAATTTTCCAAATGTCCCTCTCTCTTTTCCCTTCAAATCTGCTGCTTGAGAATTATACTCATGGCCTCCAATCTTTCCTCTTACTGCCCAGGCTAGCTTACTAAGAATAAATTCTAACTCTACTGATTAGCATCATCTTTAACTGTTCTCTTCTCTACTCTATTTCTGGTAATCTTAATAATATTATATTTCAATACTTGAAAATCTAAGGGTTTCTGAAGCAGCATCTCATCATCATACACAAAAGGTCTGAAAGAAGCATGAATGTCCACACAAAGTGGGATAAACAAGACTACAAGCAGCTTCATTTCAGGGTTAGTTTTGCTGGCAAAAGAGTTTGCCACAAACTTAGGGAAAATCTCCCAATTTTCTGAGCTATTTTCATTTTGGAATCAAGGATAAGAAACTGTTCTTTAAAAATAAAAAAGGTTGGTTAGGCTATTGCTTTGTTATGCTTTCTAAGTGATTCTTTAAATTAAATGATGTTATGAAATATGCATTTTGAATGGTACTCTGAAAAGAAAACCAGGCACCATCCGTGGCATATGCCCTTTCCTCCACTACCAAATGTAAACAAGTGTGATTCACCACAGGGTCTTGGGCTCTCCAACATCCTTCATTATCATTTAGACTTCACCGCTTCTTTCTATCTTCAGAGTTACTACCTTATTTTATGCTATCATCTTTTCTATGCTAGATTACTGCAAAGCCTCTTTTTACTGTGTATCAATGGCTCCTGCTTTGGCCAAAGTTGATTTATCCTCCATAATACAGCAAGATCTGTCTAAAATGTAAGCTTGATCATGTCAATTCTCTTTTTTAAATTCACAATATCCTACTCATTCCCTTTGTTATCGACCAGTAAGTGACTGACATCTAACTGTCATGAAGATAAGCTTGGGTGGAGAGTCAGTAGCAACAGCTCAAGTATCTGAATGGTCCTACCCAACCCCATACCATCTCCATACCACACAAAGAGCAAAGCAACTGTAACAGTGAATGCTTGTTTGGGACAGAAGTAATAGGAGTTATGTGTATGTGGTGGTAGAGTGTTTTCTTTTTTTTTTGCCTTGTATTGTTTTTGAAGAAGTAGAAAGACAATGAAAAAAGTGGTTGAGACAGGAGTACAAGACTAGTAGCTTTGTACTCTAGTTTTTAAACTAATCTAGAAGTGCAAGCCAGATCCTACATTTTAACCCATCTCCTTAGATTAAAATGACTAGCCAAAGCAGCTGAATGTTAGGAAATAAAAGAGAAGCCCATGAGGAAAATTTTAAGACCTTTGAGGTATGTCAACACAGTAGGAGAAAAACAACAAACAGAGTGGCCTCATCCAGAGGAAACAGAAATGACCAAAGCAGGAATATAACATAAGCATAACGTCTTCAAAGATAGGGAAGTTTCAGAAGTTAAATGCAAAAAAGCAGTTATGAAAAAAATCAATGTGAGATAGTAGGAAAAATACAATAGTTTGAAATAAAAGTACTCAGAGGATGGATTGAAAGCACAACAGCTATAGACCAAGAATACATTTATGCACATTTTAATTTATATATTTATTGTACTTATGTAAATGCAAATTTTTATTTAAATTAGTAAGCTGGAACACTGGGTATAATTCTCCCAGAAGGCATTCCTAGGAAACATGAAAAGATAGAACAGATGAGATAAAATTAAGAATAGGAGTAGAATATGTGCACATCTATACAACCAGAAGAAACCTAGAAGGAAAGCAAAGACAAAATAGAAGAAAAGAAATATTTGAAGAAATAATGACAAAAATCTCCCAGATACAGAAATATTCAAATCTTAGATAGAAAGGTTACATAGAGCAGTTAACAGGACAGTTAAGGAAAAATCCACTGCAAAGCATAATAGGAGGATAATTAAGACTGTTATAGATGAAGGAAAAGTAAAAGTTTCCAGGGTTAAAAAAAAGCATGCCCATCCTTAAAGAAAGAGTAACACAGCCATCAGACTTTTCAACATTAATACTGGACAATGGGAGTATTAACTTTCAAGATAAAGTGTTAGAGGAAAAGGACTATGAACCTAGAACTTACATACAACTAGTAAACTAGTATTTAAACTGAACAAAAAAAAGAAATTCTCAGCTGGAATTTCAAGAAATTCACCACACAGAGAGACATTATTTGAAAGAAGTTTGGAGGAATGTAATGCAGTAAGAGGAGAAATAAATTCAAGAAGGAACACAATAAAGCAAGTAAAGGTTGGCTCAGAAAGTGGTTAATCATTGTAATCTAAGTAATCAATGACTAAAAAGAAAACTAAAGAAATGTCACCCATAACAATCTGGAATTAAAATGCCAGAGAATATTTGCAGATTGGGTAAGAAAAAAAATCCAGCATGTGTCATCTACAAGAGACACATAAAACAAAAAGATTTAGAGAGATTTCAAAAAGAGATAGTAAAAGATATGCAGGCAAACATGAACCAAAAGAAAGCAGGGTGGTAAATTTAATAACAAAATATATTTAAGCTCCTCCTCATCCCCCCCAAAATATGTACTTCTCACATATGTGCGTGTGCACACACACATACACACACACGACACAGGAGAAAAAGAAGGACATTCTATTCTAGTAAAAAATATAACAGGTCAAGAAGTTTTTGCTTATATTCAGAAGGTTCACATATTCATAAAGTTTAATATGCATCATAGATTAGGACATCAATGTTTCATAGATTAGGACACAAGTTCTCCATGAAAATCAGTTTTCTTTAGTTTTACTTTGGGTAGAAAGAAAAGGAAAAGTCCTCATACCAAAACAACACAGCTAAAGCATCCTGAGTGCATAAATACTATACAAGATACATGATATAATCCTGGTTCTAGAATCAGAATACCTAAAGTCAAATTTAAGCTCTACTACAAAAATGGCTGCATGAGCTTGGGTAATAACCCAACTAATCTGAAGCCCAGACTGTTCACCCATGATGTGAAGATACTGTAACACTTCCTTACGTAATACACAAGGTTGCTGAGAAAAAATAAGCAAGATAATGTATATGAAGATACACAATAAATTGTAATGTGCTACAGAAATCTGTTATGATAGATATTTACATACAAAAATCTCAAAGTGGTTCCAAAAGTCTTAAGAAATTTTTAAGAATAGAGAGGCAAGATCCAAGACATTGAGAGAGGATTCTTGCAACAAATGGTATGAAGCCTGTCCTCTATAGTGGTCTGTCTCTTGGGCTGTCCCTGTCATGACTTCATCAATATCTGTGCAACTCCTTTTGCCCTGTGCTGAAAGCAGGCTTAATTCAGTTATAGGTCTCAAAATGGATAGGTCTTGAAGTGGAAAATGGGAAGAAATTATTGGCAAATGAATAAAGATTTGTATCAAACTAACACACAGGAGTACATCAGGTCTTTTTAAAATCATTCCCTATCTTAAATCTTCTGGCAACCATGAGCTTCCCTTCTCTTCATGCAGTACATCGATTTCTGAATTAGACTGCAATATTAAATAATTAGTATACTTGCTATGATGTTTTGTATTAGTTGAATATTAGGTTATCAATCAAAATCCACTTGGTTTAACATAATAATATTGAAAAAGTGCCAAGGGCTATTCATCCAATTTGTAGTTGAGGCAGCTCAGATAGTAATGTTGGTATAACATGAGGCTCTCAAGGAAATGCAGTGGTGTACCATGTATGAGACAGACATTTTGAACTAACTGGGACAAGGCTGAGGTTGTCCTAAATAAACATTGTGGTACCTGTCAGTTCCAATGATTCCTTCTAGCAGGAATATGCCATGCATCAATCTTACCATGGCAGGCAAGAAAAAAATTAATATAAAAATAATTTACCTTTGTGGCTAACAGATTTCACTGTTTTGCCAAAGGAAACATGTTCGAAATCTAGAAACTGTTGCTATGATAAGGCTTGTATTCCCTGAAGAAATTTCTAAATAAATAGACTAAAGTCTTACTAAAAAGATATCAGTCAGCTTTCTTTTTTTTTTAACATGAGGACAATATTACACCAAAGTGATCATTCAGGTTTTATAATGGCTAAGGGAATCATGTCAAGGAACCCCAATTAATAATGGTATTTACTTTGAAAAAAAAAACTATTCTTTCTGATGATGGCATTCTCCTTTACTCCCAGTATTTTTTATTTAAACTTGTCAAACTATTAGCTTAGAAAAAATTTTTTACTTACTTGCTTCTCCCCATAAAAGTAAATTATTTTTCTCTTCATTCCCTATTATATCAATCTAAAGTTGATTGTGGATTTACTATACAATTAATATATGACAACAAATTAAATGAAAGACATCCAAAAGAAAAGTGACTTTTTTGCATGGGGAGTAGAAAAGTAACAAAATGTAGATACTAAAACAATTTCACAGAGCACAACAAAAATCCAGTGAGTGTTTAGTTATAAAATACTCAAGACACCAGAATGTAGGTAAGTAACTAAAGTATCATTAACATACCAATTCATTGACAAAGTCTTTAAGAAATAGAAGATTAAATATATTTAAAAAATAAAACTGTTTTACCTGTAGCACAATATGATTGCAAATAATATGATTAGAAGGTATGCCAACTGAAACAAAGGGATCACTGTCATAGAAGTTGCCTCAAATTCCAGTTGTCTGGAAAGTAGACCACCTGCCATGAAAATAATTTCAGGTAAATAACTTTTAATTCCAATATTTGTGTGTGAGTTACAAACACTACTGAAACACAATAGATCATTGATTGAAACATGTTAAAATTCAGTAAAAGATCAAAATACATGAATTATAATTTTAGAATTAAGACAATAAGATAGATTTGCTTCTTCCCAAAAATTTCTGGTATGTTTTCCAAAGTTTCAAAAAACCAAAGTTTAAAACTCTTGACTGTGCAAAATCTGAATTTTATATAAACCTGTGAAATCATTAATAACTGTAGAAATTGTGATTTTTTTCCTAAATTTTTATTAGGTTATCTTTTACTATTTTAATGGCATAAATATTATTTCAGAAAGGCCTTGGTATTCAAAGGCTTTGTTCATTAGATATCTTACTTTCCCCAGGCTTATTCAGAAGTAGTAGTAGGTTTACTGGCCCAACAATTACTGAACAGCTTACATGTGCCTGGTATTACGTGGTAACTTACAACTGTAGCTAGAAAAATGCTGAGCTGGTTTCTTTTTCAACACCATCATAGAACTTTTGTTTTTAAAGGGTTTGGTTTTTGATTCAAATAAACTCCAAACAAGTTTTAGGGGTCTCCCAGAACCAGCAATGCCTTTAACTAAAAATAGGAACTTCATAGT